GTCAAAAGGAGGAAGGAGGGAAAATTTTGTGAGAAAAGGGTGGGGGGAAGAGAAGTCACGTGAGAATACAAGATTCGTCAAATATAAACGGCAAATTTAACAAAAGGATGTTTTTGGTCAACTTTTGGGAAACTAATTAAAGGATGTTCTAGATTAAGTGAAATATTATAAGGATGTAGTGAAAGTTAGGGTATAACAAGAGGGACGATTTTGGTCAAAGTTTCTTGATAGGAAGTTATGATATGGAGACAAACTGTTGTGTAGGTGCTTTCTTTCAAATGTAAATAGTTGCTAAAAGAAAACTGAAAAATTAATATGAATAGTTGCACATCTAATCACTTACAACTTGTTTGGATGGTTGTTACATGTCATTTCATAATGTATCATATCGTATTGTATTGTACTGTACCGTTTAATAAATACAATGTTTGAATAAATTGTATTGTTTGTCGTTGTTTCATGATATCACGCACCATCAATATGAAGGAATAAAGTTGTAATATTTATAAAGAAAAATTATGATACGGGATAAAATTATTATATAAAAAGGTAATCTAAATGATAAAATAAAATTATTAAATAATAATGAAGGGTGAGATAAGAGAAAAAGACAAGGTAACGACGCGACCACACCAAATCGGTCGTTACATAAAGTGGCATTCGTCGTTACGTAACGATGAATTTAACGATACAATACAATAAAATTTAAGTAACAATCAAAACAAACATAACATTTAACATTTAACGTAACAATACAATAGGTAACAACCCTCCAAACAAGTTGTTAAACTAAAAGTAGTGAGCTTTATTTATCAAAAAGTTTTTTTATTTTTTTATTTGGGGTCTTGTTAAACACTATTATTTCTTATTAGTAAGCATCGTTTAAGATTTTAACATATTCATAAATAATATTATTATATTACATGTAAACATAGGACATATTTTTAAAAAATGTTGTGCGGATTATTTATTGGAAATGTTATAGATTTGGAAAAAAGAAAAAAAAAATCTTCATCTTGATTTTCTAAAATACCACGTATTTTTATTATAATTTTTTTGGGGGTTAAAACCACATTGAAAATGAATTGGAGGAAGTGTCACATAAAATAAATACTACATAGGAAATATATTTTATATATATACATTGACAATAAATGTAGACAGATGGTGGAATCGCTGTCATATCCTATTTTAGCAAAATTCTCAACTTACCCATATGTTTAAGCTCTCTAGGACTTCTTTTCTCTCTCTAAGGTGATCTCCAACCCTCCCGCCCATTATGTTATTCAAGGACAAGAATATAATATGGGTTATTATTTAGCCGATCGTATATCCAAAATAGTTAATTCTTGTGCAAATTATTCGTGAGCCACATTCAGCAAAAAGAAATATTTAGAGATGAAACAAGAATCATATCGAAAAGATGTTGAACATGCATTCGGAGTTTTGCAACAACGTTTTGCAATTGTTGTAGGACCCTCACGTTTTTTGCAAAAAGAAGTGCTACATAATATAATGACTACATGTATTATATTGCACAACATGATAATCGAGAATAAGCACGATCTTAATGCACCAATTCAAGATGATTTGGAAGGTCCACCTCCAACAATAGAAATGGCTGTAGATGAAAATCAACGATTTAGAGCCCGTTTGGATTGGCTTAAAAAAAGTGGCTTTTAAGCACAAGTGCTTAAAAGCACTTTTTTAGTGCTGAAGCTTGTTCTCTAAATAAGTAGTTATGTGTTAGGATAATAGTGCTGAGCTGGAAAAAAGCTGTTGAAGTGTTTGGTAAATAAGTGCAAGTAAATACTTTTTCTGTTAAAATGACTGAAATATCCTTAAAGCTGTTAACACACGAAAAATAAGCTTATTACTACATCATCCTTAATGTAAAATTACCCAAATACTGACAAATTTATGTCTTAATTAACTCTAAATTAAATTAATTAGATAAGATTATTTTTAATAAATATAAACTGAATGCCAATATAATTGTAATATACTTTTGTTCTGAATATTCAACTACTAAATTAAACTATTTGTTTCTAGAGTGAAATGAAAAAAATGTAATAGAAGTATAAAGTAATGCCAATAAAACTAATGCAACAGCCTTTGCATCGTTTCTTTCTTCTTCTTTTTTTCTATGCTAGTTCTCATATTTGTCTAATATTAGGTAATTAAGGGTTTTATTAATTACTTATCACAGAAAAATAAAGCAACCTAATTTATTATAATAATATGAAGAAAGATATCTGCTACGTCAAAATGGAAAATGGGAAAAAATGACGTTATGACTTAATTAATAAAGTAAGGGTATTTTGTAATTTATAAAAAAGGAGGGATAATAAGGTCAATTACTTGGTCAAATATGAAAAACTTTTAATCTAAAAACAATAAGTTGGACAATAAGTTGGACATTTCCAACTTGTTGCTTTTGGCTTAATTCATCTTAAAAGTACTTGACTTAAAAGGCAAAATGTGCTTTTAAGCTGATTTGACCGGCTTTTAAGCCAAACCAAACATCTCTTAGTATTTCGAATGAATTTTATTGTTATGTAATATGTATTTAATTAATCTTGTATCGCAATGATTTCACTTTTATTTGAATTATTAGTTAATCTATAATAATCGCTTACAAATTATATTATTTAAATTTTATGGAGTTGTTTTAATGGAATTACAAATTAGTGAAAATAAAAAATAGAATTTGTTTAATGAAAATTAAAAAATAAAATTGAAATGAAAGATAATAATATAATATAAAAGATAGGAGGATATAAAAAAGAATATTTTCGAAAAAAAATATGGGAATGGTTGGAGCAAGTTATCCAAAAATGGAAATACTCCTCTTCGTTCTTAACTTTTCTTGGCAAAGGTTTTCCTTATCTCAGGTGAGGGTTATGTTACCGCTGTTTTCAGTTGTTTTATTTCATAATTATCTTGCAATTTTCGGTAATTCGTTTGGATTTTGCATTTTGATCGCTCTTTTCTGCTGGATTTTCTTGTTCTCATTCTGTGTTTTTCTGATTCATTTAACTGTTGTTTTCTACTTAAATACGAGGCCCCTTTTTTTCTGTTTCTGTTTACCTAGAACTTGTCTGGTTGTAAAGATTTGAGGGTAAAGTTCCAACTTGCAAAGTTTTGATAATGATGGAAGGCTAATGCTGAGTCCTTTGTTAGGATTGCTTTATGGAATACTTCCTTTGTCCCAATTAATGTGACTTGCTACTATTTGGAATGAAATTTTCCTTGAATATATGTTATACAACTTTCTTATTTTATTCTGTAATCTTTATTTCTGAAAAGGTAAAGGAATCAGTTTACAACCTGAAGAATAGATATTTTGACTATTCCATAATGATGGCATAATCAGTTTAAGTAGTCTCTAGATTTGTGAGTGAATATCGTCTATGCATTTATCACGGCATACAAGGTTTCTAAGAGTAGAATTTTCTATGTAAAACCTGATATACATTTTGCTTGTTACTTTATTTTTACCGTTTCTTTAGCCGAGGGTCTATCGGAAACAATCTCTCTGCCTTTATAGGATAGGGGTAAGGCTGCGTACATACTACCCTCCCCAGACCCCATATATGGGATTAAGCTGGGTTTGTTGTTGTTGTTGTTAGCCTGATATACATTAGTTATGTTACAAGTGGAGCCTGATAAGATAAGCTTATATAGACCAATGAGTATTTAATACCAAACTAAGAATTGAGTTTATCAGCCGCTGTTATTTGAAGATCATTTGAACTTCCCGAGGCCCCAAAATACTGCAAGGCTGCAAAAATTCAAACTTTGTTGCCATATTTGCGCCCTGCAATTTTTTAAAACTGTTGTGTAGGTGCTTTATTTCAAATGTTTTAGAACTGCTTTAAGGCAGCTACACATGAGATTACATGTACATAATTGATTCAAATGGCCTTCTCTTTATTTCATTGTTTAAGAGGATCAGTGACAGGTCACATGGATATACCAAAAGGAGACAAGCTTGTGCTTAGGGGTTTAAAGTTCCACGGATATCATGGGGTGAAGCCAGAAGAGACGAAGCTGGGGCAGAAGTTCCTGGTCGATGTTGATGCTTGGATGGATCTTCGGCCAGCTGGTAAATCTGACTGTTTGTCAGATACTCTAAGTTACACTGATATATACAAGTGAGTGGTTACTGCAATTGTAACTGATAAACTTTGTGAAATAAGCCTTTTCAGTTAAGTATTAGGGCTCTACGCTCACTATGTCGATTGAAATTCATTCTGCTGTATCTAAAATGGGAAGTATTCTCTAACAAATAGGAAGATTTGATGATTCAGCAGTTTCCCTGTGGGTAAATTGAAATAAACAAATAAAAACAAATGTATGAAAATTTAATGTTTGACAATTTTTATCATTAACAATCTCTCATAGAAGAATGTATTTCATTTATATCATCCATTGTTGCCCTGAAGCAATTCCTTGTTGCTAAGTAACTGTAGAAAATTCAGTCATACATTGTCTTTGGGAATTTGTTCTTGTCATTATTGTAGGAGATTTTTGTTTTTTCCTTCAGAGCCATTTAATATGTATATCATGTCACTTGATAGCTTTTTAAAAAGAATCATGTTACTTAATGGATATATCCACACTTTTGTATTGTATTCTGAAGCCACAACAGGAACCTATATCTAATCCTGTTGGTTTAGTTCAAACAAGGACTTCTCCCCTGTTTGTTCTTTATCGTCAAAGCTCTATTTTTCCACGCTAGATGAAATATTATTGTGTAGAGTGGTTAATCAAAATGAATAGGAATTTTTTTTCTCCTTGAAGCAATCTTTTGTCAGTTTGGAATTATGTTGATCTACTACTGGGAAGGAAATACGATGAGTGCGACAATTAGTGAGGATTTACTGTATCTTTGTTGGAATTCTACTTGACGTATCCTCTAGTGCATTGTAGATGAAGTAGTTGTGGTTTATTTCAATTTTGTTCCTTATAATATGTAAGAAGAAAATAACATTATTTACTCTGTTGACCACTAGGAGAAAGGTTGAATCTGTAGAACTATTTTGAATCTCCATCATACTATGCAAACTTGATAAAGTTCATGCTTTACTTGGCATAAGCTGTAGAACTATTTTTTGGTGGTGGGCCTTTTCCGAGGTGTCATGTATTTTCTGGGAGAAGATGGTGAAGATAAAAAGAAAGTGACATTTTCCCGTTATTTCCTTGCTTCACACCTTGCTCTAGTGCAACTTTCTTCCGTTAGACGATAATTTGAGAGGGGCATTGTCCAGATTCAGGAGGAAAGAGGGTTAAGTATCCTGTGGTCTCATGTTGTTAACATCACCAAAGATTTAATGCACTATCTGGTAATCTTTTACTGGTTCATAATGGTTCGTTAGAGAGTCAGGGACCAATAGAAGTTGGCCACTATTGCTTTACCATTCTTGACAAGCTTGATGACCTTTTGACGCTCTTCTATGTCCTGTAGTGTAGGACTTGCTATCAAGCTTCAAATAATATGTGCAGGAACCCATTTGAAAATGAACTTATTTAGAAGGAACCAAAATGCCAAGAATTTCCCTTGTTCTAGTTATCTAGCTTCGTTAGCCAAGGCGAAAACCACCTTCCCCTTGGTTATGTAACATATGCTGCTAACGGAAATGATGTTATCTTGATTAGTACTCTAGGTTTGGTTAGCTAAGACAGCTACTTTTAGAATAAGATATGTAGACTTGAGAAACAACCACCAAACTTAACTGACACCAGAACTGAGATCGAACATTCGATGATTTTGTCACTGAATTGAAATGGCTTTCCTATTGGTCTTAACATATAGATTGCCTGCTGGTCCTAGTTAGTCATGCTGCAATAATTTGGCCTGCGTTTGCTAGTACGACAGTTAATTTTCATATCTTAAGCAATTCTCGGAAATAACTATTTTTTGCTGAGCAATTTTCTCTGTTGATCATTATGGTTATTTTGGCATGACATTGCCATGATATAATTTTCATCCGAGAATTGGCAGAATAGTGAAAGAGATTGTGGAGGGTCCACCTAGAAAACTTCTAGAGAAGGTGGCTGAGCTCATAGCATCTACAACGCTCGACAAGTATCCACAGGTATCTGCTGTTCGTGTTCAAGTTGGGAAGCCGCATGTGGCTGTTCAAGGATCTGTTGACTATTTAGGTGTCGAGATCATAAGGCACAGAGGTCTTGATGGTTAAAACCACGTCTTATTGCTTGTATTAATTTTTGTAATTCTAAATCGTGTTGTTCAATAACCGTTTTGGTTGAAAGCTAGTTCCTTTTCCATCTGCATTTGCTCTTGGTTATAAAAAAACTATCTGGATTCCTGCTTCAATAGAGGCCTGCAACTTTACCACAAAGCTTTGTTGAGTACTTGAATTTGGTTCTCTTATATATGGTTACTTCATCACATGAGCACTCAAGAGTGACTGTTTTCCAACTGTTAGGTGATTTCTTCTCATCTGCATCAGTCTTGGTAGGTAGAATTATCATGTACATGTGCTAGTGAGAGTATGAGCACTCTCGTGGTAGAGTGGCTAAAGGGCAACTCGGTGCACTAAGCTCCCGCTATGCGCGGGGTCCGAGGAAGGGCAAGACCAGAAGGGTCTATTGTACGCAGCCTTACCCTGTATTTTTGCAAGAGGCTGTTTCCACGGCTCGAACCCGTGACCTCCTGGTCACACTGGCTATGGACAATTATTACGAATTACGAAGACTTTTTCTATACTCCATGCATTTTGGTCCCAGGGAAATGATCACAATGTCAAGGCATTTTTGCGTTTTAGCAAAACTGATTTTGGCTCATCAAAATGATAACATATCAGAAAGCAGAATGTTGTTCAACAGTGAGTTTATACATATCAATCTCATCACTCAAGCCATTTCCTTGGTCAGTGTATCTCCTTTTCTTTCGTTAAAGAAAATAGTACGTACATGTTTTATTTGAGAATATCAGTTAGAGCTGATTAACATTGTCTGATAAAGATGCAGAATGAATATACCTCAAATATTAACAATTTCATGACAAAGTTTAAAGTTGATGCATATTCATAAAACTCAAGCATACACAGAGATGCATACTAAATCTATAGTGTTTTTCACTACTAATTTCTGCTATATTTTTAGCCTTCAAAAACTAAAAAAATCTAACCTGACGAGCTCAAGCAACACCATGACTTGGGATCTAACTGGGGATGGAAATTTCTCTTCGAAAAGCTGTTATAAATTAATTATCCCTTGCCTTCAACGGATTTTAGTTGGATTTGGGATATGAGGTGCCCAAATAAGATCAAATATTTATTGTGGAAATGCCTTCACAATAAACTCCCCAGTATATCCTACCTCTACCATATTGGCATAAATATAGATCCTACATGTCCAGTATGCAAAGACAGTAATAACGAAAATAGCTAACCCAATAGCAGATTCCGCAGCTGCCACCGTT